TGAAATGCTGCTGGCAAGAGATGGTTCTCAGCAGTGACATCTGAGTTGCTGGTTGCAGTGGCTGTGGACACGGACCTGGTATCTGACACGTCCTGTGAGGTCATTTCCAGGTTGGAAAAAAGGTTGGAACAGACATCTGCAAATGATCTGTCAAAGCTGTCTGTGCTAGTAGGAAAGTATTAGAAACAGCCTTACTCACTATCTGTCTTCATTGGCAATCAATGGAAAAAGGGGAAGAAAATACAAGTAGCTTGTAGGTTATCACTGTATGAAATTATTTGATAAAGAGCTTGAGTTCTGTCTTCCCATAGTGCTGAGAAAACTCAGGCAAGAGTCTCCCTGCAAAAACCCATCATCTTTCCGTAGGGTTTTGCAGAAATCCCCTGTGGCTGCTGCTTGCCTGCCTGCCTGCAAGAAGGGTGCCGGGCACTGATGCGATGTGGGGTGACCCCCAGCAAAAAACCCGGCTTTGCTGTCAGCAGAGAGGGAATGCTTGAGCTCTCCTGGCTTGTCGATGTACTCTTTATGGTGGGGATTTGGCCTGTCAGGATTTGCACTTCAGAATATTCAGGAAGATGAAGAGCCTTGGCAGTCTCAGGAGGGTGAATGCTAAGTTTAAGCTTTCAATACAGATAATTTTATGTTTCAATGCAGTTTGTTACTTTCTTGGAAAAGAAGGAGACTATTAGTTTGAAATTATTGGGTTTGTATTTAGTCCAATGGATAGTGGCAGGCAAGGCTTTGTACAATCGAATGAATATAATTATTCTGCTGTTACCAGAAGAAAGTTGAAATAGCAGTCACATGGCCGACAATTTCAGGAATACAGAAATATAATAAAACCCTAAACTTTTAAAGAAAATAACTTTTCCAGGCAAGGTGATATACATTCAGTAAAACTGATCAGATTGGATCACAGTAATTTGGATTACAGGAAATGTAGTGGAAACCAGCACTCACTACTCTCACTCTTTTCTGAATCAAACCATGTAAGATTTTTAGACATTGCAAAGCTGGTAACAGAACAGATAAAATATTTCAACTTATAAATAAAATGCTGATGAAAAGGAAGTGTAGATGAACTATATTAGCATTAGTTGAGCAACAAATATAGCCATGTAATAAGTTCAACTACCTACCGTTTTATTAATTGACATGCAGTTAATTAGTATCTTAGTTAAAGAAATCTCAAATACTTATTCACTCAGTATTTTTTACTCACCTGATTGCTCTGATGACAGTTTTAAGAGCAGGGGTGAGATCTTCTACTGACACATCACACTGGCACCCTTTATCATCATAAACATCATCGGTTCCAAGACTGGTGTCAGCTGCAAAATACAAGAGCAGACTAAACAAGCAGCACTTAAAAATCTCTTCCTTAGTGTTTTCTAACCGCCTGCACAGTGATTCTGGAAAAAATAAGGACTACAAATCGAATAAGACAGAGCTCCATCAGTTTACAAACTATGCGATGCACTTGTCTATGTCCACGCTTGTGTCATTAAAGGCCTGGGTAGTCCCCAGTGTAAACAGAGGAAGTTAGAAAGGAAGAGCACCCGGTTATTTTTCAAACAAATTAATAGCTTAGTACCAGTATGTCTCTTCCTGATGTCTCACTGTTTTTCATCACATTCTCTGTTGTAAGGAAAAATGGTGAGCTAACAGATGCAATGGCAGAATCAAAAGATGCTGAAGTTATATTAAATTGTTATATTTTTTTTACCACTATGGATCAACCTGACATTGAAGACAAAGGAGAAGATCCATTTCATTTACTAAGGAGGCTGTGAAATGATCCAATGCTTTATTACAGGTGAAAATAAATGAAGTACCTTTTTGCCAGAAATGAATAGAGAATTATATCCATCATGGATCAATTGCCACCTTAAACCTCAGAGCCATATAGCTATTGCAGCCTTCCTTCACACTAGGAGCTTAAGCCAAGTCACTGTATTTATTTGCCTGAAAATAATGGATCCTTTACCCTTTCCTAACATCACCTCCGCAGTCACCATCTGAGAACTAACTGGAAGTCTCAGAATTGCCCAGTGTACCTCAATAACACAAGAAAACAGGGACCGATTCATGACCAAGAAGTTCTATGAACTTAAAATGCACTGGAGTGGGAACGGAGCAAGGAGGGCAGGGTCAGAGAACGCCCCTATGTCATGTATGTCTCAAAGGCACACGAAATATAGGAAACCTGTCTTGAGAGTGAATGTTTTTTGCTCCCAAGCCATCTCTCTTCACCTGCATAAAGTCCAAGTGCCCAGGTGAAGGATTTCACTCAAGGTCAGTGTATTTCAACATGTAAGTGTCTCTGCTTCATAAAGAAGGGAGTGTAAAATGAAATAGCGAAAAAAAAAGGATGGGATTCAGTAACACTCAGTAATGGAGGAGATTTCTTCCCAATCCTATGTCCCTACCTGCATTCATGCTGTTATTTAAAACGTAGGCTTAGTCACCCAGAAACACTGCAAGTAAACCACTTTGGGGGCTTCTATTATCAGTGAATTTGAAGCACAATCAGGCACAAATGATTGCGGGACATTTGCTGCAAGTTCCTTTTTCACAGAGACTGTAAATTAAAGATGAAAAATACTCTTTGTCAGTCAGAAGTGCCTGGAAATTTCATGGTACCTTTTAAATCTAATAGGAATGCTATCTTAGAATAAACAGCATTATACTAGGCTGCATCTTCAGGAATTGGTATTGCTGCATTGCTGTCTTCACAGATTTAACATTTGGCCATGAGAATGACTCTGGCCAATTCATTACCCTCAAGAATATCTTTTCTTTTTTGATGGTTGCTGAGCTGGTACGTCCATGAGGGACATCTACTGTACCTTTGACAAGCAGGAGGTTTTATCTTTGACAGATCAACTTAATATAGAAAGAAAGATGGTTTATAGCCATGTTAATAATGTCTTCAAGTACACGTGAAACAATTAAATGCAACCTTAAAAGATTTTCAGTTTAGCACTGTAAAAAGGAAATTTTCATACAAAACTTTGAAATCTCCCCTTCCATGCTATTACTGTAAGTTGTCCCTACAACGATGAGTGCTTTTTTCTCACCCTCTTTCACAAGCTTTGCTACCAACTCATCTTATAGATAAAATATGTATGTCTCTCCACCTATCCTGCCTAACTGACATTTGGATCCCTGCCCAAAAATGTAATTAGCTAAAATAAACTATGTAATTAGTTTGATAGGTATATAGATTACCTAAAACTCTATCTCCAAAGGTGCTAAATGTTCCGCGACACTAACTTTCCAAGTGTCATGCCTGATCAGCCTCTCCAGTTACTTCTCCCAGTCCTGAAATCTCCCAGCTCATTTCTAAGTGCCATACAAAAACTAGAGCATTTTACGCTCCTGGTATTTCCAGTGGCTTTCTAAGGTTTGAATCTCCTCAGTTATGCCGGTATAAATTAGGAATAATTCTGTTAAGGTCACAAGAGCTACAACCATGTAAACCCAGTGAAACAGGAGACTCCAACTTGGAATTTTAAAATAAACATGTTTCTGAATGGTTCTCTCACTGATACGGGTTCTGGGTCGTTTGCCAAGTACAGTGTCATTAACAAAAAGGCTTCTTAACACAGTATATCTTCGCAGAAGCATTTTGAGAACAGTGTGGTGCAATTATAATATTCCATGTTGCTCACATGTGGATACCAAAATCAGCAAAAACTTTAGACAGATGCTGGAAAATTCTTATAAATTTAAGCCAGCTTTAAGAAGAGATACTGCTCCTAATAAATCACCTTCTTTTTCTAATATTCCCACTGACATGAATTTCCTTCATTATGGCAGGCGCTCAGTACCACATGACAATAAAACTTGTGAAAAGCTATAAACCTTGTTTGATTCATATGGGAAACATTCATGTTTCTTTATAATACTGAGCAGACTTGGGAGAAAGTTTGGGAAATGCATATTAACAATTTGGAAAAAAAAATTCCAGCTGAGTCCCCCCCGAAATCAAAGTTCACATTCTGATGAATTTTTCCAGTGGAAGCTCATGTGTACGACATAGTTACGAGGTGAGATGTACTTGCATTGCTTCTGTCCCTCAAGAGTTCATCCTTGAGGTCAGGGCCATGTTGGGGCCAGTTTGGCTGCTTCAGCAGATCCAGCTGTTAAAATCCCTGCCAGTTCCCAGACGGGGCTAAGCTACGGCCTCTGACGAGCCCCACTCCACGCTGCTTGCTGCTTGTTCCCAGAAAGAGCCTTCCCCATCATTGACTGGGGCAGGTAGACCCTCCAGTGCCAGCTCATGCCTAGCCCTGCAGGCATCTGCTTCTTCATCCTTCCCCATATCCTTTGGCCACATCTGCTCTCCATCGGTGTGGCTGTGCGTGGTCCAAGTGGGCTCCACAGGCAACCTTAGGCAGCAGCTGCTCTATGTGAATCCAGCCACTCTTCCAGGCCTTCCTAGGGTTAGCACAGGTTCTCCTGTCTCTCCAGAAGCCTCTACCAACAGCTAAACAGGTCTTTCAACTCTGTTGCTTGGGCAGCTCATGAATCCGGTCTCAACGGTGGCCAAAGTGTCTCTTAATACAGATTTAGACATACCCCTGCAAGCCTCCCTAAGAAGGGGTGTCAGCCAGTCTGACAATCCAGAAATAATTCCCTTTTTTAATACCAGCATCTTTACAATTCAGGATGTGTTTTGATTCTAAACGTCAGTCTGGAAAGTGTTTACTTCACAACAGATGAGGCATCCGCCATTATCTCATGAACTTTGACATTATTTACTTTGGGCTAAAGTCTTGTCTTTGCCACTTTGTAATTTCTTCCTCTTTCTTCCTTAAGAGCTGTCTTTGATTTAATCACACAGCAAATCAGCAATTACCGAGAGATAGAAGAGAGGCACGCACAAGTCATTAAAACTGTCTTGATATTTCCCTGTTTGTCACAGTATTTATGCATTCTTCATGCAAACTCGTCATTTGTGATCACCACAAATGAACAGGCTAAAAATTACACTGTTCTGAAACATTATATGTCACCAACAAAAAATTTACGAGTTTGTATCTGCATTTCGTATGGCTCTGTGCAAAAGTTCCGCACAAGGCTTGATTTATTTTTTCTGTAAATATCATGTGCCCTTTCTTAGAAGTGTTTTCTGTTGTTTAATGACATGCTTTGGCATCAGGAAAACTGTGACACTACTCTGATCACCCCCATGCTTTCAGTGTTAGTAACATTCGAGTAATTCTGTGCCTGTTGAACAGAATCGAAAAGATTTTGTACTCTTTAACGTTTTCTGGGAACAGCCATATGCCAGCGACAACAATCCGGCATTAGCAAGTGCTTTTGCCGACACCATCAGCAGTATGGTGATCCCAACATAGACCCTTTGACTTGTTTTTTGGAAGCCTTCAGAAGCACTTAGATCTTAGACTCTGACTGCGTAGGAGGTATTTAGGGCTCTTCATGTGGGTGACCTAAAACATTCTCCTGAGGCTGAGTACCCACATTTTAGACATGGGAAAAACCTAAATAGGCGTCTGAAGTTGGTAGTCTGCATGTGACTCTCAATTATTCATGTTACAGCACAGTGTTGTGTCAACTTGGTAATAAAAAGCACTGATTTGGAAAAAAAGCCTGATGGATTGATTTTCATTGTAATGCATGACTCACGGTGAAAAATGAATGGTGGCCTAATTTTCACAGGTGCTGAGTTACCTCAAGCCATAGTTTATAACTATCATGCAAAATCCAGAGTTCAACTTGGGAATTGAAGCCCAAGCAGTCCATAATGCGGCTCCACAGCCTGCTTTCCACCCTGCTCGCCAGGGCAACCTCATCAGAGCACAGAGCTGCTCTGGCTGCCCCAACGGGGCACACTCATATCCAAACTCATTTTCTGCGTGAACAGCCAGAAAGAAAATTGAGTGGAGAATTCAGTGCATTGAATTTCTGGGCAAGTAAAGTTAGACATAAATTCCAAGCTTTTGGAGGGCGGATTGTCCCATCCCACGATGGGCAGCCCTGTGGGAGGCGTGGATGGGTAGGTCTGCTGCAGCAGGGGTGCCCGGGCAGCCGCTTTAGCGTCAGACTCCTAACTGCCTTACTGTGAGACGGCTGCTGAGCTCAGGTGACCCCTCTTGTTCCAGAAGCAATGCTGGCAGCTTAATGCTCTCATTATTCTGTTCTTTCAACCCCTTTGGAAAGCCATGTAGCAGCCCTTGTTGAGCTGCTGTAAGTAATGCCTAGGATGCACATAAGTTGGGTGCATTTCACTCATCTTTACACTGCCTTTGAAGCACCTTTCTTCACCCTGAGCATCTGCTGTGGGAAGTTAGGGATTTAGCCT